AAAAAAAAATGTTCCGCAAATTTTAAGAAACCCCAGTAAGTACAAGTTAAAGTTTAAGTTACAGTGGCGGCCTCATAGGAGGGGCGTCACAACATGTCATATTCTTAGTAATCATACCTTAATAATACAATAATTTTGTTGCCTTATTTTTTATTTATGTTTTATTTCTTGAATTATATTGCTTTCTATTTTATATTTTTGAGTTTCCTTTATGTTTTCTAAAAAAATATTTTAATAAATTTTTTTCCTCTACAAAAAAAGCCATCATGCCTAAAGCTTCAACTAAAAAAATAGGGAAATACAAAAACGATAATATTAAATAAAAATTAAAATAAAATACTGGGTGTGAAAAGAAAAATAAAATGATTAATAATTAACAATCTTATAAATATAATTTGGGGTAATTTTGAAATAATAGGAGTACGTAGAAAGTAAAATTCAACCATTTTAAAATTATGTGAAGTACGTGTTTAAAAAAAAAGTGTAAAAAGTAAAAAGAGGTGTGTGGTACTTCACCAAAACACGAAACAATTTAGGAGGACAGAGTATGCTAAGATCCCATAATAAAGAGTAAGATATACTATACATGTCACGAAATAAGCATTACCAAGATAACATTTTTCACCCAATAAAGCGCCTTCGTTTCTTCACTTTTAATGTTTAATATTAACCATATATATCATTTTCATTTGTAATTTGTTGTTTGGTTTGTTTGGTTCTAGTTTTCTATCTGCAATGGCAAAAAAAAAAAGGGAGATGAAAGAGATATCTTCAGGAGACTTTCACCATGAAAATCTAAAGGAATTGACAAATACAGAATTTCAAGGGATCAGCAAGAGAAATTGAGCTCATCATGCATGTGGTTAATTAAATGTGGTGTTGCTTTGGAGAAGCTACAATTTGACAGAAAACTATCTATTTACCAATGAGATGGGGAATGGTTGACTATGAAAAAGCCTCTAAGCAAACTTACAAGAAATCAAGTGTTTGAAAGGCTTCAAGAAAGACTACCAAAAACAATAAACCTACAAGTTTTGTGATTTTTGTTTTTTTGCCATAAGACATATTTTAATATTTCATTTTTGGGTGACCAAAACATTGAGTATATTTTCATGGGGAGAAAAGTACAAGATTTGCCACCATGATTTTTTGCAGGTCTATTTAGATACAATTGTTGCCTTTTGTTTTCTCATTATTAATAGAATGACAATCGTCAATTTTTTAGTCAAGTGGCATAAATCATATTTTTTTACCATCTTGAGTGGTATTTTTGATTTCTTCTCTATTTGTGGTCGGAAATTACTCTTGTCTCTTATATCAGTTGGCATTAAGCCTAGAAGTTTTTGTGATTGTCTCGACTATTATGGTGTTCATCAAAGCTCTTTTGGATACGAGAGAGCTACTTGTTGCCCTAAGGTATCTTTAGTTTATTATTTAGGCTTATTTTAGATTTCATTTTTTGGTGGCACAAAAAAAAAAAAAAAAAACAATTTATGCCCTAAGAGCTTTGAGTCAGAATTATTTAAGATTTCATTTTTGAGTCGGAATTATAATGTCTTTTTTTATGTGTCATTATTCAATTCAATATGAAAACTGGATGACACGGCATGCAAGTTATCATCATATTAATTAAAAAGTTACATCAAAAAGATGACTTTCTCATTTTTCTTTTTATAAAAATTGGCCTTTAGGATTTGATAAAAAGAAGCAAAGAAATAAACTAAAAACAGCCCAGCTCAATTTTCTTTCATTTCAATATCATCACCCATTTTGGTTTCTCTGTGTATCTTTTTTCTTAATCATCAAAGAACCAAGTTCCTCAGCATAAAAATAAGTTGATATCTGAGTAAACAGCAATTGCAAAGATCAGTTTCAAACACACAATAAACACTTTGATCAAATACTTTTTGTTTCCCTAGTACTGTCTTCTGATCTATCAGTATCATCAGTATCAATATCTTCATCACTATCTCTATTTGGAGAAGCTGAATTCACAACCTCTTCTGACATGATTGCTCCCTCATTCTTGTTCGAAGCAAAGAACTCGAGAGCTGTCACGACGTCGCTGATGAGAGGCCGAGTAGCCGCTTCCTCCTGGAGACACATGGCTGCAACTGCAAGAGCTTGGTATAGAGCCTTTACAGGGTAATTCCCTTCAAGCAATGGATCTGCCATTAGTGTGAACTTCCTTCTGTCTTTGAATAGTGGTTGTGCCTACAAAGCAGGAGCATGAATACGGTCAGTTTGGAGGGTTCAAATCTTTGTTTCACGAAATTCAGATTTATCCATTCGATTAGTTCTTAGTTGAAACTTAACCAAGTTACAAGTCAGTCTTTAGACTTGGCCCGATTTCAAATTGTGTTTTTAAAAGAATTGACTCCATTCACTTTACCGATTCAAATTTAGAATTCGAGTTTTGCTACAGTAAAAAATTCTCAGAAACAGTTACATCTAATTTTTTTACTTCAATAAAAAGCTCACATAAAATCACATCTAAACTCGAATCAGCGAACTAAACGGGCTCTATTACATTTATTTGTAGCAAATGTAGAAGCACGGGTGCAGAGGTTAAAAGTTAGGAAATCAAGCTTTCGAAATAACATTATAAAACTACAAAGCTGTCTGTAAAAGAAATATTCTTGAGAGCACCATTGGTGTTCAAAGCCATAACTAATCGAGAGTGAGCTCCACTTGTGGGCCCCATGATGTTGGACCCACTCTCTTTTAATGTGAGGTCTCCAAAATCATTGGCGCCCTTTAGCATTGTTCTTGAAAAAGTGCTAGCCTCATTTTATGTGCAAAATGCCTTTTAGACCTCCAAAAGCATTTTCAAAATGGTTTTCTTCTGAGAACAATATATTGTTGCCAAAAAAATTATAAGCTTATAAACATACCCAATTGACTAGATTCTGCTCCTCGGTTGGTCTTGCATTGTCTATCACTCTCCTTCCCGTGATTATCTCCAAAAACACAACCCCAAAGCTGTAAACATCGGATTTCGTCGTCAGTTGGCCCGTGAGGGCATATTCAGGTGCACAGTAGCCATAGGTTCCCATGACCCTGGTGGACACATGGGTCTTATCACCAGTTGGACCTAACTTTGCAAGGCCAAAATCAGAAAGTTTTGGATTGAACTCCTTGTCCAACAGTATGTTAGATGCTTTGAAATCACGGTATATAACCGGGGGGTTGGCTTGCTCGTGTAGATATTCGAGTCCTTTAGCTGCACCAGCTGCAATTTTCATCCTGGTATTCCAATCCAAAGCCTTGCTATTTGGAGCTAAATCTGAAATGAAGAAGTTTATGTATTTCAAAATGAAATAATCAAAATGGTGATCTTTTTGATTGTGAGGCCCATTTCGAAATATTACAATGTAGAAGACGAATTTGGATTTTAAGGGGTAAAAAAAAAAAAGAGTAAGAAAAATTTTGAAGGAAACAAAGAAAATGGAATAACTTCTAAGTACTTGTCGTATGAAGCAAGTAAAGTATTTGAGACATACCAAGAAGATGATCTTCCAAGGACCCACTAGGCATATACTCATAAACCAAAATTCTCTGATCACCATCAGCACAATAACCAACCAAATTAACAAGGTTGGGATGGTGAAGAAGACTTAAAATCAACACTTCTACAAGGAATTCTCTGTTTCCTTGGAATCCATTCCTGTCAAGCTGCTTAACAGCAACTACCTGAGTAAGACGACAACAAAAAGTGATTCTATAAACTTTAGTCAAAGAAACTTCACATTAGAAGAAGGAAATAAAATGGATCAAAATGATGGATTTTAGTAGTACTTGATTTTTGCTCTCAATGTTTCCTCTGTAGACCCTTCCGAACCCGCCTTCGCCAAGAAGATGGTCAGGGTGGAAGTTTTGAGTTGCTACGCATAGCTCTCGGAAAGAAAAGATCTGTGCTGTGATATTTCCTTTGCCAATCTTGCTTATCTCTTCAGTTATGTACCTACGTTTGCTACTATCTGCCAATGAGAAATATATTAGCCTCAAAGTTGAGCAATCAATGATCTGGGGAAGGAAAATCTTTGTTTCAGAATCAAGTTGACGTTTGGTTCCTGTATTCAGACTCATAATTCAGAATTATTCTCGTTTTATGTGTATTTTTTGTGAAAGAAAAACATGGTAGAGAATTATGAATCATAATTCAGAATCAAGAACGAATACAGAAAACAAACATTTGAAATTAAAGACAGCCAATGATTTTAATGGTTTTGTTTCCCATAGATATGTGATAGAAAGTAATGGGGCTCTCTAATAAATCAATGATAAATCTGTAAACGAAAAGACTAAAAATTGTGCTAGTGATAAGAGTATTGGTGATTGTAATGTGATACAAGAAAATGGTCATTCACTTGTCTCTAGAATTAATATTCTTGGTAAAAATGAAAAAAAAAAAAAAAAAAAAAAAAAAAAAAAAAAAAAAAAAGAAAAAGAAGAAGAAGAAAAGGACCCTTAAATTTTGGAACCAAAGAAAGAAAACGGCAGGAAATTATGAGTAAATATCAATAGATTTTTTTTCCATCTTTTTGAGGGAAACTTTCTATGGATACAATAATATTAAAATAAATGTGAAAAAAAAAATTTGCAGAAAATTCCAAAAAAAAAAAAAAATGGCAATGAGAAAATCAAAGAGCCAAGCCACAGTTCTATAAATTGAAGGACTAAAGGCATTAGAGACAAAAAAACTAAAATTTGCACATAAATGAATAACATATATTAATCAATAAGCGCTTTCTTTGATATGGAATAATAATAAACAGAAAAACTTACCACTTTTAAAGGAGATATTAGCGAATGAAGCCAAAGTTTTTGTATCACGGTATTCCTTAATGCTCTTCTTCAAAGACCTTCTTTCTAGTTTCTCTTGTGACATGCAACAAGAAAAGCAGCTCATTTTTTTTATTATTTATATATGTACTTTCTTTTTTTTTCTTCTTCTTCTTCTACAGATTCTAGAGGATCACAATTTCATACAGAGAACGACACAAATCTTGCATTTGAATCTTGGATTTCACAAGCAAACAAAAACGGATATTTTTAAATAAGACCATTTAATCTCAAATGGCAAAAAGCACATTCGAGACAAAAGAAAATGGTTTGATTTGTTTGATATGGTGGACATATTATTATTGATCTGCTTAGTTATTCAACAAACTTTTTGGGCAGGGAAAAACCAGAAGCTAGATTTCTGGTCTCTCAACAAAGAAAAGAGAAAAAGAAGAGAAAAGAAAAGAAAAGAAAAAAAAAACTTCCATATGGTTTGTTTGTTTTGCTTGAACTTCCTCCATGTCCCCATTGAATTCGGATAGGCAAAAGGCTGAGTCAAACTTGACTATCTTTAGAAGGAACAACCAGGCACCCATTATTGGTTTAACTACCATCTTCAATCTTAAAAATCTTAAAAGGAAAAAAAAAAAAAAGGAGGAAAAAGGAAAAATCGTCAAGAGACATAATGGGTTTTCTTATGTGATTTTGCTAACCAAATATCCAACCATTTAAATATGGTATGATAAAAATTACACTATATATATATGAATATTGACATGAAAATGAAATATAACAATTTCTTGAAATATTTTAGGATTTGAAAATTAAGTAGTAATTACCATAATGATTTTCATGTTTTATTCTACAAAATTACGTAGTAATAGTAATCATTATTTATAATCGTTTCAATTTTGGCTATTTGTAAAATTTTTAAATATGACCAATAAGATTGTACTATATGTCTAACATACCCTTAGGCCTTAAACATGAGATGGATCTCTTTAAATTAGTCCACAATTTTGAACTAACATTTTTGTTCAAGCAATTGTTTTTATTATTAAATATTCTCCCATGTTTTGGTAACAACCAGCTAGCTATATTTATCAAACTACACGATCGTTGTTATGGACAGTGTCTAAACAACCAACCAACGAGCCAACCAGCAAGTTTAAAATTGTTGGCTATGAGGATTTAATGATTGGAGGATTTAAACTATGTGATTCGAACCATTTTCGATTTACGTGTATTTTTTGTGAGAGAAAATACTGTAGCGAATCACGAATCATGATTCGAATCCCTCTACCAAACATCCTCTTGTTCACCCCCATTATTATTAGTTATTATTTACTCAATGCTGAGTAATCAAGCTGTGAGAAAAATCCCATTTAGCATTTTCTTATTTCAATATGTTAAAATCCTTTAGAGGTCATTTGGTTTAGATATTCAGAATCATTCTCGTTTTACCTGTGTTTTTTGTGAGAAAAAAACACTGTAGAGAACCATGAATTATAATTCAGAATTAAAAACGAATATAAGAAACAAACGTGTCCTTAGATTATTTTCCGCCAGTTCTTAGTTCATAGACGCATAATCACAATATCATAACTTACTTTATTTAAGTCAAGGTCCAAATTTATTATTATTTTTAACATGATTAATACTTCTTATTTCTCAATGATTCACTAACATCTTGCAACATGTGTTCTACCCAAAGTAGTAATAATAATAATAATAATAATCCCATAGTAGGGATCACAACTGACTACAAAGCACATGTATAAACATTCAGAATATAAGCTACAAAAAGTTGTCATTAAAAGTCTGTTTTTCAATATACGCCTAGGTTAAAAACAGAAATTTTGTACGCTTGCAAAAAAAAAAAAAAAAACTACAAGTTACAGCACAAAAGCTTAATTTTCAAGCACCTTGCAGGGAAGATCAGTCAGTAAACACCATATTAGAGCCAGAACCAGACAATTCCTCCAGAACAACAGGTTTCTCTTTAGTTTTTCGTGTACCAAATAACATTTTGTGTCTTCTTGCTGCTTTTATATTAGCAATCGAGTTCTCAGCCCTCGCAATCCGAGCTTCAAGCGCGTCCACTCCATCTAAATTAAACTCACAAAGCTCTCCGCTCTCTCCTTTCTTATCATTCAATCTTTCTTCTTCGCTCACCACTTCACTTTTCTTGTCTTTCAAGGCAGCTTCTTCCTCAACCGGTTCCGTCATAGGCAAAGGACTTCCATTAACACTTCTGTAGATGTTTTTAGATTTGACCATTCGTGTGAGTGTCAACCTGTCCTCCACATCAGAGCCCCCAATATCAACTTTTTCTTCCTTGGAAGCCTCTTTCTCAAATGGTTTCCTTATAGGCGAAGGATTACCATTTACACTTCGGCCGATGATGTTCCGAGATCTAAACATTTGTGTAAATGTCGACCTGTCCTCCGGATCAGATCCCCTTACTTCAACTTTACTGTTATGCTTTTGCGAAAAACCCGGTGGACAAGATAAATCATTCTCCTCTCTCAATCTTTTCCTTTTGTCTTCCATTGACGCCCTATTTTCCATCGTCTCCTCCTTTACAACATTTGAAGAAGGACCCTCCTTCTGTGGAATATTTCCATCATCAATGTGTTTAGGCCTTAACATTTCTGCGAGTGTCGACTTGCCCTGCGGATCAGAGCCCCTAAATTTAGCTTTATTAGACTTTTGAGAAAAAACAAGATGACAAGATGAGTCACCAGTCTCTTCTCTTAATCTCTTCCTTTTGTTATCCACAGCGCCCTTTTCCTCAACTGGTTCCATCGGACGCTTCTTCTTTATAACACTACCCGAAAAACAACTTCCATTCTTGGGCCTTTTCGCATCAACCGTTCCAAGCATTTTCTCATGTGTCACTTTGTCATCCAGATGAGAACCTCCTACTTCAACATCATTACACTTTGGAGGAAAACTAGGAGGGACAGAAGTAGTATTGCTCTCTTTTTTCGGTCTCTTTGACAGTGCACCACACATCGGCCCAACTGCATCTTGGCCACCCGATTTCCATCTATTCCACCACTCAAAGTATCTATAGGTAACACCAGGACTGAAAAACCTCGATTGAATATACAGCTTCTCAAAGTTCAAAGGCTTATTGTAACTTTTCCAAGCAACAAAATGAGTCTGATTATACCAACTCACACTGCCCGGCAAATCTTGGTCCATCCCAAATTGCCTTGCCACTCTATGTGGAAGATACTTCTCAACAAAATGACCCGACTGATCGATGCCCACCAACTCCGAAGCCCTCAAACACAGCGCAAACGACTCCAATTCTTCGTCCAAACCCTCATTAACCAACAACCACTCTTCTTTATCTCTGTAAAACTTGGGAAGAACCCAGTTCTCCATTTCCATGGTATAAGGCCTCCATATGAAAAACTCGCCAGAAGAGTTAAAAACAGCCTTTACATCCTCACATTCCAACTTCTTAACCTTATGCCATTGAGCTAGCCTTGTTTGACCCAATTCACCTAAATTCCTCTCAGGCTGTAACAACACAAATCTCTCATAAACCCAGACTTGAACCAACTGAAAAGGAGCCCAAACCACAACTTTACTACCATCATTAGAATCCCTCGAAGCAAACATTTTTTCTCTCAAAAGGCTCAAATCCCTATAAATACTAGCCAAAACAGCCGGTGCCAAAGCGATTCTAGTCCCTCTAGCCAAACGAATCGCAAGTGGGAAAAGATGTTTGAGCATTACAGTTCTAAAACAAGCAGGAAAAACAAACCTTGAAAGCCATAGAGAGAGAAACGCCTCATGCTCAATCTCACTCTTTCTCTCTTTCTCCTCCATGAAAATTCTCATCCAAGGATAGTGACAAGGTTTCTTGGCCTTAGACTTGGTAAGAACTAATCTTTCTTCGTTCAGTTTTTGCTCTGTTTCTTCCATTTCTTCACGCTCAGAAGGACTCAGAAAAGAAGCCTCAAGTGGGTTGAAAACAGGACAGCCCAGAACAGAGTAACCTCCGCAAAGCATGACATCTTCCAAAGTGATTGTAATTTCGGCGAAATCGAAGACAAAAGTGTTGGTTTTGGGAGACCATTTCTTGGCCAGCTCCAGCACCAAATCTGGGCATTTGTTAACTTTGTAAGTGGACCCCATTATTGCTCTGTAAATCCCCGCTCTTTCCCATGTTTGCTTGTACTTGGGGGAGAGCTTTTTGACCCAGTTTTTCCACTTTTCTTGAGGGAAAAGCCACCCATCAAACGACACCTCTAATGGGGAGTTTCTGTTTCTGGGTTTTGAAGTTTTTGTCGTTGAAGAGTCGAAAAATGGCGGAGCTTCAGCTTCTTCAATGGTGGTTGTTGGAGGAGCAGACGGTTTGAGGAAATGGGCAGTTCTGAAATCGTGCTCGGTTGGTGAAACCATGAGGTCTTGTCTTGTTTCGACAATGGCGTCTGATGGGTCGTCCATTTTTGGGTTTTTTTTTGTTTTGTTTTGGTGACCAAAAATGGAGGTCTGAGGAAAGGTGATACAGTATGGAGTTGCTTACTCGGGAAGTTTTTGAGGCGTTTTTGCAAACAAAGGAGAAAAGAGAGGGAGAGAGAGAGAAAGGTGTCACAGTATGGAGTTGCTTTACTTGGTAAGTTTTTTAGGCGTTTTTGCAAACAAAGGAGAAAAGAGAGGGAGAGACAGAGAAAGGTGACACAGTATGGAGTTGCTTTACTTGGTAAGTTTTGAGGCGTTTTTGCAAACAAAGGAGGGGGGAGAGAGAGAGAGAGAGAGTAGTACGGTAAACAAGTGAAAAGACAGCTCTGAAAGTGTGAAAATGACCATTATTAATGCAATGGAATGATTACAATTTACTATTTTACTAGTTTCTCTCGCGTGTTCAATTCAGAACAATCCAATCACCGAAAAATTCATTACAATCTCATGTTATCCATAGTTTGAATTAAATTCTATGGTTCCTAGACTAGTAGGTTTATTTTGTTAATTTGAATTTAAAATTTAAGTCTTATTATAATATTTTCATAAATTATAATATTTAATTTTTTTATTATAATAATTTTTTTTATATAAAATTGTATATAAACTTAAATTAAAAATTTAAATTAATAAACTAAATAAGTTCATATATTCATATCATGATTTGAATCATAGTTCGTAGTTTGTTACAGTATTTTTTCTCATAAAAAATACGTGTAAATTGAGAATAATTTTAAATCATAATTCTGAATCCATGAATTAAACGTCCACTAAAATTTTCTGATAAAGTATGATTTAGTTGGACACAGCTTGGAATTTTCCACAACATCAATAAAATAAGCCTTTTGCTACGTTTATCTATACACATATACAAGAAGTTATCATTATAGGTGGCTAGATATACATTAATCCGGTTAATTAGCATAATTAATATATTTTATAGAACATTTTAAAAGGTTTTATGAATTTTTGTTATATATGGTTTGTATTAGAATGTTTTTGTATCGTTTTAAAAACTAATAATTTTCGCTTAAAATTTATTATCCTAAAATTGTTAAAAGTTTGATGTGTTTCTAATGAATTGTTAATTTCAATTTATATATAATAAACAGATTTGAGATGCCTCTACCCGTTTTTTGTTAGTTATTAAAGTACATAACTTTTATGAGCGAACAAGTAATATAGAGAAACAAAGTGTAATGAGATAAAAGTGGATAATGACGTTTTTTCCCTTATAAAGAAAAAACAGACAAAACAATTTATATGATATGTAAAAAGAATATACTTTAAAACGAAAAAAAGTATTTCAAAAGAAAATTCTCAAATATCTTCCGAATTCTTTTGAAATTCTGAAAACATCATACGATCAATGAAATAAATTTTCGTTTAGTTCGCTAGTTTAAATTGTGTTGATTTAAAATTTTTTTTATTTGAACAGAAATTTTAATAATGTCATTTAAGCAGTAGTTTAGACTTATATTTGGTTGTGTATTTAAAGTTTTAATTCGAATAGAGAATATAATCTAAATTAGCGTTTAGATCAGTCTTACAAATTGTAAATTTGAATAGAATTGACGTTTAGATTAAAAACAATTCTAACTATGAAATTAGTAGTAAGTGAGTTAAAAAAATACTTTTATGACTTTAAAAATAAAAAAATGACATTACATTAGAAATGAACAATACCCAATTTTATTTTGAATAGCACACCTATGTTATTATAATTTCTTTTTCTTATTGTTTCTACTTAAAAAAAAAAAAATTGTTACATATAATTTTTATTAGGTATTCTTTGCATGTGGTGCTTTAATGGGAACGGAAATAAATTTTTTTTGGTACTTGCATAAGAAGCAATAGTAGTACAAGTATGCAATAATAGTTGGACGTAAATTACTAACCATAAAAAAAAAAAGATCGAGACTGTAAAAAATTGGAGAGGCGCAGAGCAAATAACCATATTGTTGATACCCAAAATTTTTAATTTAAATCAACACAATTTAAACTATATTATAAGCTACCGGCCTGGTCCAAATTAAATAAATACAACTTCAGATATGGTATGTGGACTCAAGCCACGTTCGGGGGCTTTTATGTGGGCCGTGATTTGGCAGGCCAAGGAATGTGACCGGACCTATTATTATCCGGCCCAATTATATCCTTGGCCCACTTGGGGTGGTCCTGGGTCTATGAGGGAAATAAGATAATATGGGTAATGGAGGAAATTAAATAAAATAAAACCTACTGCAGGCAGACTAAAAGAACCTGTTAGTCCACTACCTTGCACTAAGGCCCAAGACAGTACTTCTCTATATATTTCTTTTTCTTATTTTTGTTCGACTCCCCTAGGTATTCCAAGAGAGTCAAGGCAGTCCGTTGTTTCTCAAAACTATAAAATGTCAAAACACATGCGAATGGGAGGGGCGAAATCACTGTTCACCCTGCTGCTCCCTGACCTTGCCCGAGACAGCCACAAAGCCACAATGGCTGCAATTCCCTGACCTCGCCCAAAACAGCCATGAAGGCACGTTGACTGCCACTCCCTGACCTCGCCCAAATGGCCACGAAGCCACGATGGCTGCTGCTCCCTGACCTTGCCCAAATGGCCACAAAGCCACGATGGCTGCTGCTCCCTGACCTCGCCCGAGACAGCCACGAAGCCACGATGGCTGCCATTCCCTGACCCAGCGACCAATTACATCCCTTTCTGAGACAAACATTCATCTGAGAGCATCAAAAGATGCCCCTGGACCTCACTGGAAATGTTTTACCAACAGGGATATCTGGAGGGCGAATTTCAGCCAAGGTCCTAGTTGGCTGGCGGGAAAACTCCCTCCCTTTCTCCATGAGCCTGGCCTATAAATACCATTACCCAAACCTCTCAAAGGGGACAGGATATACACGGGAAAAGAGAGAGAAGGTAGATCAAGGTATTCTGTTCTAACTCCTCTGATTTTCTGGTTTCTGACAGAGCGACCGACGGGGAATCATATTCTCCATAACTTCCGATGGAGTCCCTCTAGAACAAGATTCTAGGCATTCTCCCCATTGGCAGTGGTAACAAAGGCTCCTGAAACACTAAAAAGTCCTTAACAACAGCCCAACACCTCGAGATTGACTGTTTTACTCCATTCACACATTACGTCTGTCATGATCGCTTTATTCACAAACAGAGAAATATAACTCTGTTACCCACTTAGAAACCTCCTCCATAAACCGGTCACGTTCCTCTCCCTCACTATACTCTCACTGGGAGATCCCCATCCGAAATTCCTCAACGTCCCAGAGCTGAAGCCGCAATAAGTGTCGCCCTCGGATACTGTCTTCCTCGGGGATGTCCGGGTTTTACTTACCTCAGCCGGGGCCAACCTCATCATCCTGGCCACCGTCGACGCCAGGAGGGACCCTCAGCTGCTCTCCGACCATGTCAGTCGGTGAGTGCACAGTCACAGCGAACCAAACAAGGCCACGAGTTTCATACCTTCCACGTCGACAGGCCCTCTCCAAAAGAGCCCCAACATTTCGCGACTCCATTGGGGAAGCTAAACTAGGGCTTCCGAATGGCTCCTACTAATAGTAAGAAAATGAAGACTACACTCGACGGGGATTCTCAGGGGACAAAAATGTCCGTCTCGGACCACGAGGCCGCCGCCCCTAATGGAGCTGAGGCTTCGGGGGTTGGCCTCGCGGAAATAATCCGGGTGATGGCTCGAGCCCAAGGAACCCTCATGCGCAAGGTCGCCGAAATGAAGAACGCCTTTACTCAACAGAACGCTCGGCCCATGCCAACGACGGAAGTTGCACAACAAGAAGCCTTGGTTAATATGTCACCCGTGTAGTGAAAATGTCACTCAACTCTGTACTTATGGTTAATATAAACATTTGAGTGTTAATTTATTTACTTAGTCGATTTATCTATATTTTACATTGTTAATGTGGGTCATAAATCTTATCTTTTTCATTGATCATAAAGTTGTAGATAAGTTTATAAAAAACCAAATAATAACAAATATAGGACCTACTATGGTACTTTAACATACCGGTAAGTCAAATTTTTTGTCCATTAGATCTGCATAAAATCACTTAAAAGTTAAAAAGTATGTAAATCTAAAGATTAAAAAACCCTAGCATATCGGTACATTAGGTGTACTAAAGAATCACCCTAACAAAATTAAGTATATGAAAGAAATTATTTTAACACAAAAAAATTATTAGAAAAAAGTATTTAAAAAAACATGTTGTAAAAAAAGTTAAATGCCTGCAAGCACAGAGGACTTGAGAAATAATCAAAAAGAAAATAAGAAAAAAAATAAAAAGAAAATAATTATCAAATAAAGATTTATAAAAAAATAAAAAGGGAATAAAAAAAAAGTGGACACAAGGCTCTTTCTTCTTATGCCGCCGCACATAAAAAGAAAGAATTTTGACTCTTTTAAATATGTATAGATATAACATAAGCGGCGTAGTTCATGACAAATATAAAGAGTTATTATTTTTACAACTCAAATTATAAATTAAGTTTTATTATTACATTATTTTTTTTTAAATTAATTTTTTATTATAATATTTTTATTTAACATACACAATTCAAATTCTTAACTTAAATTATAGAAAAAATAATCTTAAAAAATAGCCTAATAATAAATAAATAAGAGCCGTGAGTTTAAGATAATTTTTTATATTTCCTGGGTTATGTACCCTTTTTGTTAAGAGATATTAATACGCCACTTTTTTTTTGTCATTTTTTTTATTTATTATTTAATATTTAAGTTTTATTATGTTATTTTTTGTATTTATTATTTAATATATATGTTTTATTATGTTATATTCTGTTTAAATAATAATATATTATATTAATAGAATGTATGTGTTAGTAAAATAGAGATTGTCAATGTCGTTTCTGTTCGCCAATTGTTTGTCATGGGTTTTTTATTAAGTTATGATTCGTTTAGTTTGTTGATTTGAGTTTTTAATTTGAGTTGAGATGT